CATATTACGCATGCCAATAGAAGTACATTTTACAGATTTATAACGCCCACCCCCACCCCCCCACCTTTTTTTCCTATCTTAGACTTTCAGATTCTTGATAACCTGTTTTACAACCCTAGGCAATTGTCAGCTAAATAGCCTTAAATTTGCACATTAAAGAAAACAACCCAGGTGAAAATCAAATAGCAAAATTTACATCATAAGGTACAGAGAGAAAAAAGCCTGGTGGTGTTAGAGGAAGATGTTTTTATTTTTCTTTGAGCCAAATTAAACATAAAATTAAAATACATTCTTCCTTAGCACAAGAGTAGCCTCTGTTGCAATAACTATTTTAGTCAAAAAATCCGGTGAAAACAGAATTCAGTCAACTAAGTAGTAAAAGGAAAAAACACTTTTTTTTGCTACAAAAAAAAGACAAGTTCTTAGGAGAGAAAAACAAACAAGAAACAAAAACATGAAGGCCTTTCAAATACAAACATGCACAAACACACACATCTTGGATGTGAGTGTTTTAAATAAGCAGACCTTCAACCATTGAGCTCCTTGAAAAACTTTTTAAAAAATCTTATTAGCAAATCTCAGCTAGGATAAAAGGTTGCTATTTCAGAGGTACAGCCATTGCTCTTTCAGTTTGGTCTGGCTAGCAAAAAGGTGGCCTTGTTATGTAAATAAAGCCCCTATAGTCATTAAAATTTTTAAAAAAAATTTTTTTAAGCTGGCTGTTTTCCTACTACGTCAGAGTCCTTGACCCCATAATTCAGGGTTCCCCTTCGGATTTGACTAAGACAGAAACAAACAACAAAACAGTTAAGCAAAACTAACAATGGTCACACAGATTATACAATTTCTGAGTGCTCTAAGTGTACGCAGAAATTAACACCAGCTGGTTGTTAAATACTAACTTTAGTCGTTTAAAAAGAATTTGTAAGACAGAATCCCAAAACAGTTTCTTACCTAGTGATGGGTCTCAGGCTGTAGACTTCCCTGTACCATCCTAGAAGCAGGAAAAAAACAAAACAAAACCGTTTTCCCCATTGCAAGAGAGCTCAAACTCCATTAACACGTCACCTGACTTCCATCATCATGAAAGCAGGAAAACTTGCTTTCCTTGTTGGGAGCAAGTAAAACTCCAACAAAAGAGGTGTTGTACAGCAAAATAAACTTCAGATCTCTACCAAATTTTAAGAGATCAGGGATTTTCTGGAGGGAGTCCTCTCAGACCTCAGCAAATTGTCCTATTGGTTTGAGCCATAAAGTTAGCTCATGCTGGTAACCAAGCACTGACAGATTCGTCAAAGGTCGGGAGCATCTCCACTCAGAATCCATTCATGGTTTCCAAAATGTGAACCCAGAAAATCTGAGACAGGTCTCAGTAAATTTAGAAAGTTGATTTTGCCAAGGTTGAGGACACACCTGTGACACAGCCTCAGGAAGTCCTGAAGACATGGGACCAAGATGGTCGGGGCATAGCTTGGTTTTATACATTTTAGGGAGACATAAGACATGAATCAATATATGTAAGAAGAGCATCGGTTCAGTGGGGAGGGAGCTTCCGGGTCACAGATAAGTGAGACACAAATGGTTGCTTTCTTTTGAGTTTCTGATTAGCCTTTCCAAAGGAGGCAATCAGATACGTATCTATCTCAGTGAGCAGAGGGATAACTTTGAATAGAGTGGGAGGTGGGTTTGCCCTAAGCAGTTTCCCTAAGCTTGAGTTTTCCTTGGTGATTCTGGGGTCCCAAGATATTTTCCTTTCACAGTTGACATCCCCAGTGTGATAGTGTTTAGGGCTCAGAAAAAGATACCCTAAAATAGGGTGCTTTGGCATGCTGAGTTCTTTGTATAAAGGAGACTGAAGGGCCTCAGAAATAAGAGAACGAAAGTCTGTCTTTGACCCACTCCTGCCCACTTCCCTTCCTTTCCAAAACACAGGGAGGAGCTTTCTTTGAAGTTCTCTTATTTGATTAAGGGAAGTTTCTCCAGAAGGAAGACAATTGTCCTGGACACCCCTTCCTGGAATCTACATCAATCAGAGAAGATTAACTCATATTGCAGGACAGGAGAATAATTAAAAGTTGCTCAAGACACCACACCGAGATAGACTTTTTGCTTATTCTTTCAACTATAGTTATGTGTTCAATAACAATGTTTCAGTCAACTGCATATACAACCATGGTTTGATAAGATTATAGTGGACTTGAGAAATTCCTATTGCCTAATATGCCGAAGGAAGAAAACGTTTTAAAATGTATTTTGTGTACTCTAAGTGTGCTGTGTTTATAAAGCCTACAATAGTATGCAGTAATGTCCTAGGCCTTCACATTCACTCACCACTCGCTGACTCATCTGGAGCAACTCTCAGCCCCGCAAGCTCCATTTGTGGTAAGTGCCCTATACAGGAGAGCCAATTCTTATCTTTTTTTTTTTTTTTTTTTTTGAGACAGAGTCTCGCTCTGCCGCCCAGGCTGGAGTGCAGTGGCCGGATCTCAGCTCACTGCAAGCTCCGCCTCCCGGGTTCACGCCATTCTCCTGCCTCAGCCTCCCGAGTAGCTGGGAGTACAGGCGCCCGCCACCTCGCCCGGCTAGTTTTTTTGTATTTTTAAAGTAGAGACGGGGTTTCACCGTGTCAGCCAGGATGGTCTCGATCTCCTGACCTCGTGATCCGCCCGTCTCGGCCTCCCAAAGTGCTGGGATTACAGGCTTGAGCCACCGCGCCCGGCCCAATTCTTATCTTTTATGCCATATTTTTACTTTTCTTTTTCTCTGTTTACATATGTTTAGATGCACAAATATTTCCCATTGTGCTGCAATTCCCTATAGTATTCAGTAGTCACATGCTGTACAGGTGTGTAGCCTGCGAGCAATAGGCTCTCCCATATAGCCTAGGTGTGTAGTAGGCTATGCCATCTAAGTTTGGATAAGTATACTCTGTGATAATCACAGGACAATGCAGTTGCCTAACGACGCACTTCTCAGAATGTATCTGTCATGCGCATCTAGGTGCAGAGACCACCAAACAGACTTTGTGTGAGCAATAAAGCTTTTTAATCACTTGGGTGCAGGCGGGCTGAGTCCAAAAAGAGAGTCAGCGAAGGGAGATAAGGGTGGGGCCGTTTTATAGGATTTGGGTAGGTAAAGGAAAATTACAGTCAAAGGGGGGTTGTTCTCTAGCGGGCAGGAGTGGGGGTCACAAGGTGCTCAGTGGGGGAGCTTTTTGAGCCAGGATGAGCCAGGAAAAGGAATTTCACAAGATAATGTCATCGCTTTAGGCAAGGACCGGTCATTTTCACTTCTTTTGTGGTGGAATGTCATCAGTTAAGGAAGGGCGGGCATTTGCACTTCTTTTGTGATTCTTCAGTTACTTCAGGCCATCTGGGCGTATATACGTGCAAGTCACAGGGGATGTGCAAGTCACAGGGGATGCGATGGCTTGGTTTGGGCTCAGAGGCCTAACAGTATCCCTGTCACCAAGAGATACATGACTGTATTATTCTTCTTTTTTCTTTTTTTTTTTTTTTTGAGATGGAGTTTCATTCTGTCACCTACAGCCTGCATTCAAGTGATTTTCCTGCCTCAGCCTCCCGAGTAGATGGGATTACAAGTACCCTGCCACTACATCTGGCTAATTTTTGTATTTATAGTAGAGACAAGGTATTGCCATGTTGGCCAGGCTGGTCTCAAAGTCCTGACCTCAGGTGATCTACCTTTCTCAGTGTAATAAGGCAAACTTTGCTCACCATACACTTCCTGCCCCTACCCCCTCCCATGGCCTGTGTCTCTACCTCCCCATCAGAGGCCCCACTTCCTGTAGCTTGGGGTGCTATTTAAGCTTCCGCCATCTGGCCCACATTAAAAAATGTATATGCCTTTTCTCCTGTTAACCTGTCTATTGTCAGCTTGTTTTATAGATTCAAATTCTTAAACCTTCAAGGTCTAGAAAGGAAGTTCCTTCTGCCCCTCCAATAGTATAAAGAAGTGGAGCCTTTTGGTAGGTGATAGAGTCATGAGGGCCCTGCCTTTAGGCATGGAATTAGTGCCTTTATAAAAGAGACCCAGGGGGGCTTGTTTGCCCCTTCTGCCATATGAGGACACAGCAAGACGGTGCCATCTGTGAAGCAGAGTGAACATTCACCAGATATGGAATCTGCTAGTGCCTTGATTTTGGACTTCCTAGCCTCCAGAACTGTGGATTTCTGGATACATCTCTGTTGTTTGTAAATTACCCGTCTAAGGTATTTTGTTAAAGCAGCACAAACAGACTAAGACACTTGGCGAGTGACATAACCTCCTTGGCTTAGTCATCTTCAGTTACTATAACAAAATAGTAACAAACTACTATAGATTGAGTTGCTTACACCACAGAAATGTATTGTTTCACAGTTCCAGAGGCCAGAAGTCCCAGACTGAGCTGCTGATTCATTCAGTTCCTGGTGAGGGCTCTCTTCTTCTGCCTTGCAGGTGGCTGCCTTCTTGCTGTGTCTACAAATAGCCTTCCTTCAGTGCAGGTGTGCAGCAGGGGTGGGGAGGTCCTCTTGCATTGAAAGGACACAAAGATAGATGTGTACCCGCCCCCCACCCGCTACACCCTTGTTCTGCTCTCTAATCTTTGCACATACCAGAGATTTCGTAAGTTCTGTGAGTACCTGGTTTTCTGCACGTACCAGAGATTTTGTTTTGCACATACCAGAGATTTTGTAAGTTCTGAGGCAAGGTCACAAGACGTGTTTAAGTAAGATAAACTATTGCTGCCATAAACCTGCTCTCCCGCCTCAAAGTTTGAACCAAAATATCAGAAATGGCAGGAACCAATCATAGTTAGCCAAATCGCCTTGTTCAAACACTAGCCAATCATATATCTGATTTGTATAATAAGTCTATGCCCACTTTTCTTAGACTATATAACATTGTTCGGAGCTGAGTGGGGGAGCTCTCCTGCCCGTCTCGTTTCACGAGCAAGTGAGAGCTCCAGGTTCGAACCTGTAGTAAAGATCCTTGCTGCTTAGCTTTGACTCTGGACTCTGGTGGTCTTCTTCGGGGAATAAACGGTCTGGGCATAACAGCATTTCCTCCTCCTCTTATAAGGAGGTCAATTCCATTGGGCAAGAACCTCACCCTATGGCCTCATTCAACCCTAATTACCTCCCAAAGGGTCCATCTCTAAATACAGCCACATTTTGGTTCAGGACTTCAACATATGAATTTGGAGGAGGAGACAATTTAGTTCTTAACTCTCCCTGTGGCTCAGTGACTCTTTGTTAAAACTGGGAAGACCCGGCTGGGCATGGTGGCTCAAACCTATAACCCCAGCACTTTGGGAGGCCAAGGTGCCTGGATCACTTGAGGTCAGGAATTCGAGACCAGCCTGGCCAAAATGGTGAAACCCTGTCTCTACTAAAAATACCCAAATCAGCTGAGCGTGATGGTGTATGCCTGGAATCCCAGCTACTTGGGAGGCTGAGGCAGGAGAATTGCTTGCACTCAGGAGGCAGAGGTTGCAGTGAGCCGAGATCATGCCACTGCACTCCAGCCTGGGCAACAGAGACCCTGTCTCAAAACAAACAAACAAACAGGGGAGACCCTTTTCCCAGCAATAGGCCTTAAGGAGCATTGAGGGATAAACAGAAGGCATGCCTAGGTCTGTCCAGGACAGGCACCCTCATCTCCAAGATGTACTTGATATTATTTGGACCTCCAAGGCCATTGTATGCCATGTCCTAAGAAACATTCATGTAAACTTTACATACACACAGACACACACACACCCACACCCACACCCACACATGCTCCCTTAACCCCTTCCAGTAAGACTTGGTTTCACAGGTCCCAGTTAAATCCTTCCCTACCCCTCTGGCCCTTGACCTTACTTTCTGTTGCAAGCTCTCGTAGTACTGGGTGAGTTCTGTGAGTTTCCTCTCCCACTCCGAGGCCTTGGATCTCAACTCTTCCGCAAACTCTGCCCTTGCTCCTTCCTTCAGGTGCTTCCATCCCTTTGAGAGAGCGACGCAGTCAAAGCCAAGGGAGATGACGGACATCACACCTCCCCGCAGGCGAGCATTCTTGGTCATCGCCAGTGTTGTTCCCCCAAAGGCCTTTTGTATCTGCCTGCTGCTCCGGGAGGAGACTTGGCCAGTGGTCAGAAGACGCTTGCTAGCACTGGCCAAGTGTGGGTCAGCTCTGAGTTTCTGAAATGCACGGATGTTTTTCTTGGCATCCTTCAAGACGCTTACACCATTATAGGTAATCTTTATAGCAGCTGTGACATAGTCTGCCCTGTTTGCCTCATCCCCCCTGTCCTCTTGGTCATGGGTGGGCAGTATGTCTTCAGCCTGTGCTTGGGCTTTTTTATTTTCGGATTTTTCCAACATACCACTCACAATGCTGGTGACCCCAGCTGCTGCTGCCAAACCTTGACCAGTGGCGGAGAGCAATAGGCTTACTCCTCCTGTTACTGGGGCAAAGGCTAAACCCAGGAGGCTCATCGCGTCAGAGATGACAGCAGTAGAGTTGATCACTATGTTAGCCTTGGTGAATTTCTTGTGAGTTTTGTCAGTATCCTCTGCAAGGGCACGGAGCTTGTCAATGTTCCCTTTTAGATCTTCTTTCAATCTGGGAAATTCTCTCAAAAATATTTTTTCTTTCGGGGACAGATCTCTGTATTGTAGCTCCTCGTCTTCACACAGAGGAACATCTTCCTCATCCCTGAGGAGAAATGAAATAAAGATTTTGCTTCAGCTTCCCAGATGGGAAACTGCTTGTGGCTCTTGGATATTCTTGCCACTCTCAACTTCGAATCCTCCCTGTACCTCCCTACAAAATCCCCTGAAAAGTCCCAGAGCATTGTAGAGTAGTTCAACTTTCGCTGAAAACTACTGGTTCCGTGGAGAAAAGAAACACGTAAGAGGGGCATGTGGAAGGATAAATGTGAGTCACCCCAGCCTTGGTCAAGGAATAGGGAAGGAAGATTAAGTCCTGAGGTATGTTTTCAGCCTTGTTCAGAGAAAGCACAGCACTGCTGCAGAGGAGGGGCAGTGGGGAAATGTTAAAACCCCACTCAAGATAAGGAACTTGGGAACAACGGCGGGAGAGATCTGGGAAAAGTAGGAGAAAGAGAAGACAAGGTAGTGGGCAGGGGATGAGAGTCCCAGATGTGTAGAAGTGAGTAGGAGGGTGGAGGGGGCCATATTGAGTCATACATCCTCCACTCTGATGACCCTGAATCTGGCTACGTGGGGTGTGCCTCTGCTTCTATCAGGAGTTACACATTGAGAGTTGAGATAAATTATTATTCATGTCCTGAATGCTCTCCTTGCTCTTGGTCAGCTTTACTTGACCCTTCAAGCAGATGGGATTGGTCCTTTATGGAAGAAGTTTGAGACAAAGAGACCCAGACCCCTCTTCCTCCAACATTTCACAGGACGAAGTACGAAGGGATCTTTGCCAGGTCAGTTGGCTTTGACCTTCAAGGGAGAGGTGCATCAGGGTGAGAGCAAAGCCTACTGCTTGGGGCATTTTCTCATGTAAGGTGCCATTTGTGCATTTCTTTCAGGGTGAGCCAAGGAGGCCTGGTGATAACAGATGCCCTGGCCCAAAGGAGAACATCAGAGCTGGAGGGGACCCTGGAGAGGATCTGGGCCATCTCCTTTATGATTCAGTGGGGGGCCTCAAGCCCAGAGAGAAAAGAGGACACTCCCAAAGGAACATGCAAGGTAAAGATGGAGCGTTGGGTGGGCTCTGAGTCCTAAACTTGGTGCTTTCTGCCCTTCCTCTCATCTGTCAGTTGATGTCATGGCCTCCTCATTGAAGTATATGTATGTCCATAAATGTTTTTATCTTTAAATCTCTCTTTCCACACACACATGCACAGAATTCCTCAGTGGGAAAGATTAGAAACTAAATATACCATCGAGCATATGTTTTAAGTATTAATGAATTAATAAATTTAGGCCCAATTATCCATTAATCCACAGATGTAAATCAGTTAACAGAGCAGAAGATCACCAGGGCTTGCAATGGGGAAGGGGTGGGATGAAGGCAAGCGGGGTGGTCCTGATGAAGAACCCTAGACATAAAAGATGCCATAGTTTAGCCCACCCTGATCTTTGTATTTCCTCAAGGTATGCTAGACAAAAAGAAACAGCAAATAGATACGTAGCTGCAAAGATCAACAATGCCACTGTATATTAACTGTAGAGTTTTGGTTTTAGCATGGCTGATAACTAATAGAAGCTTGACTTCATGTGTTTCTTAATTAAACCAAGCATCTCACAAGTGAACATCTCTGCTCCAGTACATCCTGTATCAGTTGGTGATGTCTACTGGCATTGGATAACATTTCAGTTCAGTTCCATGAGATACTACACATAATTCACCTAATTCACAGAGCAAATATTTGTTACTTGCACACATTGTGCAGGAGGCTGATTTACCAGTAACTGGGCTTAAATTCATTAATTTGTTAACACCAAATGGCTTCCTTCCTTGGTGGTATATGAGCTGAAGAAATGGAGTTCCTGTCTTCAAGAGAGTTACAGAGATGAGGCTCCAGAGTGGAGCAACTTCTATCTTTGGAGTCTTATCGCCCAACGCCATGTGACTGACTCAATCTTGACTTGCTCTCCAAAATATTTACTTTAGCTCTGTGAAGTATTTTTTTCCCTAGGGGAACGGATTTTCGTATGCATAATAGAGACCAGCGGGAAGATAAGGCCCCACAGGTAATCCTATCAGAGCACATGTATTCCTTATTGTGAGGATGCCTGCAGCATTTCAACAGAACCAGCCCTCTCCCTGGGGACTAGGCCTTTTGGGTTACCTTTCCAAACCAACACCAGCTTCACTTTCTTCCTCTGCCTGGTTGTCCAGCAGCGTCTGTGGCACCAAATCTGTGTCCCCAGGAGTCAAATGATTTTCTGGTCAGGAATGTAGAAAAACAACATTACTGCACATATGATGAAACCTTATGAAATTCAGGTGTGGAGGGATTTTGGATTCTGTGGTATCAAAATAACAACCATATAGCATACTAAATATTTGCAAACTATTATTTTAAAATTGTATGTTGAGGTGTAGCTTACACACAATAAATGCATGCGGTGAAATAGTCAGTTCAATACATTGTGACCTCTTTATTGGAGGGTAGCAGTATACACCACCCCAAAATATGCCACTTTGGCATAAGGATTATTTTGAGCCAAAAGCAATTGAGAAGAAGTGGGTACAAGAAAAGTTCTCCACCCTCCCCCTATTTGCCTAAAAGCAAGACATAAATTTACAAAGGTAAAGCTGTCCCTCATCTCCTCACTACCAGAAAGGATAAAGTTCGATCACCAAAGATGACATTGACTTGCCTTCCCATAAAGTGTTCCTCCTGGAGACTTAAAACCCTTTTCCACTGTCTTACTACTTGTCTAAAAATGTACTGTTCATTGTTGGAGGTGTATTGAAACAGGAATTCAAAGCTACCTCTTTGAGAATTATTTAATCCCTGGATCTCTCCCATGTCCATATGAAATAGACATGTTAACACACTTCTGCTTGGTTTTCTCTTGTTAATCTGTCTTGGGTTACAGGAGTCTGTTCCAGCTAAGAACTTATGAGGGTTGAGAAAAAAATTACTTTTCCTCCCATACATAGCCAAGGGCTGGTAACAACCCAAATACATCAATCAATAGAAGAATAAACAAACAAATTATAGTATTTTTATATAGTTAAATACTACATAGCAATAACAACTTTTAAAACTACTGATACCCAAACAACATGGAATAACTTCACAGACATTATTATTGAGTGAAAGAAATCAAACAAATGACTCCTTTTATATGAAGTTCAATAATATGCAAATGAATTGGTTGTAGAAGTCAGAATCATGGTTTTCTCTCAGGTGGGGCGATTATTGACTGGGAGGAGGAAGTACAAGGAAATCTCCTGTTCTCCATCTTGACCTGGGTGAGTGATTTCTTAGATGGATATTATAAGAGAGGGAAAAAAAATTTTCCCTCTATTCTTCTAAGTTCTCAACTAGAACCCCTGTAACTCAAGACAGATAAATAAGAGAAAAACAAACAGAAATGTACTCTTAAGTGTATGTAGGAGACACCAGGGAATAAACAATTCTCAGAGGAGTGGCTTAGAACTCCCTGCTTATATAACCACACTCAACAAAGAATTATACAATTTTAGAGAAGTGACAAGATGAAGAAAAAGACTTTGCATCTTGAGGGCCACCAAACTGTGGGTAGACAAATAAAAACGAAATGAAGAATAGAAAGAGACTAGTCAATAAAGTTTGTTACGCAGCTTCCTCTGGTACCATCTCCAGGCCCATAAAGGTCTAAAGTTCTCAGTGGTTAACCTTTATTATCCTTGATAGAAAGACCTTTGTAAATTTAGGTCTTGCTTTTAGGCAAATAGAGAGAGGACAGAGAGCCTTCCTGCATCTGCTTCTTCTTAATTGCCTTCACCTCAAGAATCCCTATGCCAAAGGGGCGTATCTCGGAGTAGCGTATTCTGTTCTCTCACAAATATTATGACCACATGGACAGTAATGATTAAAGGATCATTTTCACCGAACAAAGCAGTAATTTACAAGGCCCCTTTGTACAAATTGTATTCCCAAAAACATAATATGTTGTGATATTGTGATTTATAAGTATAATTATATATAGATATATAATTACATATACGTGTGTATATGTGTGTGTGTGTGTGTGTGTGTGTATGGTTCTCATCCCCATTTCTGGCACAGGGCTCCTAAAACCCTTGAAATTTCCTGGTGATGAAAACAATAAAGGTGAAAAGAGCATCTTTTCTTAACCATAACCGGGCCCTTTTAGCCACACCTGAGTTGATGTTAATGAGGTGACTTTAGAAAGCCTCCAAGGATGGGGGCGCTGGTCGTCTGGGGAAACAACCATGTGATTTGAGGGTTGGAATATTCAGCCCTTGAGTTCCAGGAGAGGAGAGAGACTGGAGATTGAGTTAACCACCAATGGTCCATAGTTTCTTTAACCAATCATGCCTGTGTAAGGAAGCCTCCATAAAAGCCCAAAAGGACAGGGTTCAAAGAGCTTCTGGGTTGGTGAACACATGGAGATACCTGGAGGGTGGTGTGCCCAGAGAGGGCATGGGAACTCCATGTCTCTTCCCCCATATCTTGCCCTGTGCATCAATTCCATCTGGCCATTCTTGAGTTGGATCCTTTATAAAAAACTGGTCATTGTAAATAAATGTTTCCCTGAGTTTTGCAAGCTGTTCTAGCAAATTATTGAAACTGAGGAAGGGGGTGTGGAAATCTTCCATGTGTCACCACATTGGACAAAAGTTGTGGGTAACCTGGGGACCCACCACTTACAACTGGTGTCTGAAGTAGGGGCAGTCTTATGGGACTGAGCCCTTAACCTGTGGGATCTAATGGTATCTCCAAGGAGATAGTGTCTGAATTGAGTTAAACTGTAGGATGCCAAGTTTGTTCTCATCAAGAAGTGGAGAATTGCTTGGTGTAGGGGGAAAAACTCACACATTTTGGTGACCAGAAGAAGTAAATTGGTGTGAGTATTGAGGGTAGTAGTAGAGTTCAGCCTCCTTCCTTCGCCTCTCTCGCACACACCCTCTTGCCCTTCTGCCTTCTGCCTTCTGCCATGGGATAACACAGCAAGAAGGTCCTTGCCAGATGCTAGCACCCTGATATTGAACTTCCCAGCCTCCAGAACTGTGAGAAATAAATTTCTTTTCTTCATAAATTCCCCAGTTTGTGGTATTCTGTTATAGCAGCACAAAACAGACTAAGACAGAATAAAAGAGTCCCCCAGTCCTTCTATCTACAAGGTAAAAATTTTAGGAGCTCTATGTTGGTAGGGGTGATGGCAGCAGTTAGATTTGCAGAAATCCACAGGTTTCACCAGCGCATGTGGGAGGTGAGAGAGTAGAGTCAAGGATAACATCATATTTTTGGGCCTTGAACAACTGTTACAATGAAGATCCCATTTACTGAGATGGGAAGGGGTGAAGGTTTTTTTGGTAGGATATGTGTTTGTCGTGGGGTGTGATAGAGTTCAGTGTGGGATGGGTTAAGTTTGAGAAACCTGTTAGACAGCCAAGTGATGTTGAGTCTGTTTCTGGCTGGAGATCAAATTTGGGAGCCATCAGTGCAGAAAGTAGTTGAAATCATGACTTGGGTGAGAACCCCAGGATAAGAGTAACAGTAGAGACAAAGTGCAGTCAAAGAACTGGATCCTGAGCACTCCAACAGTGGGACCTGAGGAAAGAGAGGAGGAAGAACAAGAGATGGAACACAGGAGCAGCTAGTGAAGCACACAGAGAACTCACAGAGAATGGCATTTTGGAATCCAGGGTGAAACATTTGAATATGATTGACAGCCTTTGTGTCTCCCTGTATTTTTCAACATTCTGAATCTTGCTTTCCATCTTTATCTTACGAAGATTCTGCTTTACCTGCCAGTGACAATAGCTGGAATGGAAGAAAACATACCTTGGCAGGCTGGAGATAGCGTGTTTCTGATCCTCCTCATATTCAGAATGACAGGTGTTCTGGCTGAGAAGAGACGCTGTACTACCTTTCTAGAGGAGAAAGAAGGCCTTCTCATTAGTATGGATCCAAAGCCCCTTTCTATCACTTACCTGTTCTGGGGTTTCAAGACATTCAAGATACCACTGTACGTTTCCCTTCTCAGAAAAGAGAAATAGTTTGAGATAATAAGATATAACTTATAGATAAGTAAAATAGCTAGTAAAATGCCTAGCTCAATAAATGTTCAGGAGCAACTAGTTTCTGCATTTTTCATAATTATAAATAGGATAAAAATAGTGTCTTACCTCGGATTGGCTTAGAAAGCAACCCCCAACTACTTTGTATGTTTCTTACAGGAGATACAACTGAAACAGTGACTCGAAAAAAGTTGGAACTAAAAAGTTGGGCAAAATCACAAAGGCAAAGGAAATGTCTGTGGCTGTAAGAGGAATCCTTGGGATGGAATTGTTCTGTGTCTTGATTAGTGGTAGTCACATACATCCACATGTGAGAAAATTGCAGTAAATTAAACTTGGGAAACTCAGTAATGGGTCTATGGGATCTCTCTGTATTATTTATTATAACTGCATGTAAATCTATAATTATTTCAAAATAGAAACTTTTTTTAAAGTGGCAGGCAAGTACAAAAAAAAAGTATTGTAACATTATTAATAGTAAAAAACAAAAAACAAAAAACAAACAAAAAAACACCTAAATTTCCACTTAAAGTGGACTGATTAAAAAAACTATGGCCTATCAAACAATGATATCCTATGCAGACATTAAACCAAAGGAGGCAAATTCATGTGAACAGATGTGGAAGGATCTCCTATATGCATTGGTAAATTAAAAGGCAGGGTTCATTTGTATACATAAAAGTTAAATGTGACTATATAGACAAGCATCTATGCCAGATGCAGTGGTTTATGCTTTTTTTTTTTTTTTTTTTTTTGAGACAGAGTCTTGTGCTATCACCCAGGCTAGAGTGCAGTGGCACTATCTCAGCTCACTATAACCTCCACCTCCCGAGTTCAAGCGATTCTCCTGCCCTCAGCCTCCTGAGAAGGTGGGATTATAGGCATCTGCCACCACACACGGCTATTTTTGAATTTTTAGTAGAGACAGGGTTTCACCATGTTGGTCAGGCTGGTTTCCAACTCCTGACCTCAAGTGATCTGCTCACCTTGGCCTCCCAAAGTGCTGGGATTACAGGCATGAGCCACCAAGCCTGGCCAGTTTATGCCTTTAATCCCAGTACTTTGAGAGGCTGAAGTGGGAGGAAAGTAGCCAGGCATGGTGGTTTGCATCTGTAATCCCAGCTACTCAGAAGACTGAGGCAGGAGGATCACTTGAGCCCAGAAGTCGGAGACCAGCCTTGGTAAAACAGTGAGACCTTGTCTCCGAAAAAAAAGAAAAAGAAAAAGAAAAAAAAATTTAATAGCAGTAATCAGTGATGAGATTAAGGGTCAGGAACCAGTGGAAGCTTGCTTTTCTCTAGGTCCCTTCATACTTTTTGTATCAATATTTTTTTGCCACGTGGCTGTCTGTGATACGTTAAGCAATTAAAAAAAAAAAAACAGTTTTCCTGTGAGGCAGGTTGAATAGTGTGCCCCTTCCCCTGCCAAATTCATGTCTACTTGGAACCTTAGAATGTGACCTTATCTGGAAATAGGGTCTTTGTAGTTAAAATTAGTGAAGGATCTCCGGGTGAAATTATCCTGGATTTAGGGTGGCCCCGAAATCCACCACTGGTGTCATTATAAGAAGAGGTGACAGAGAGAGACATGGAAAAGAAGGCCGCGCGCAGACAGAGGCAGAGATTAGAGTCGTGCTGTCAGAAGCCACCGAGGCTGCAAAAGGCACAGAGGGTCTCCTGGGAGCCTGCAGCAGAAGTGTGCCCTACCGGCACTGTGATTTTTTACTTCCAGCCTCCAGAACCATGAGACACTAAATGTCTGTTGTTTGAGGCCACCCAGTTTGTGGTGCTTTCTGACAGCAGCCCTAGGGAAGCCAATATATTCCTTTGGATCTCTTCCCTACATTTGGTACTTGGTCCAGCACTTACGGCAGAAATGCCATTTCCTAGATATGGCTTCTTGCTCAGCTCATCCTCCCTTCTCTCATCCTCTTCCCTTCCACTTGTAAAAAGTTAGAAAAAAAAAAAAATCCTCCCTCACATACTCTGAAGGGACACAAATTCTTTATTTTTTTTTAATTTTTAATTAATTAATTTTTTTTTTTGAGACGGAATTTTGCTCTCGTTGCCCAGGCTGGCGTACAATGGCGTGATCTTGGCTCATTGCAACCTCTACCTCCCAGATTCAAGCGATTCTCCTGCCTCAGCCTCCCAAGTAGCTGGGATTACAGGCATGTGGTAACACGCCTGGCTAATTTTTGTATTTTTAGTAGAGATGGGTTTCACCATGTTGGCCAGGCTGGTCTTGAACTCCTGACCTCAGGTGATCCACCTGCCTCAGCCTCCCAAAGTGCTGGGATTACAGGAGTGAACCACCATGCCCAGCCTGGGACACAAATTCTTATAGCCATTCATTTTCTAATTGTTTAAATGAATACAAGTTTACGGTTGAAAATTTAGAAATAAATTATAAAATCCACCTGTACACTCACCACATGGAAATAAAAACTAGTGACATTTTATTTTACAAACCCAAAATTTAAATGAATGCTGTTCAGGTAGCTTGTGTGAATTCTTGTCACTTAACATTGTATCGTTGGGGCTGGGCGCGGTGGCTCAAGCCTGTAATCCCAGCACTTTGGGAGGCCGAAACGGGTGGATCACGAGGTCAGTAGATCAAGACCATCCTGGCTAACACAGCGAAACCCCGTCTGTACTAAAAAATACAAAAAACTAGCTGGGCGAGGTGGTGGGCGCCTGTAGTCCCAGCTACTCGGAAGGCTGAAGCAGGAGAATGGCATGAACCCTGGAGGCGGAGCTTGCGTGAGCTGAGATCCGGCCACTGCACTCCAGCCTGGGCCACAGAGCAAGACTCCGTCTCAAAAAAAACAAAAAAACAAAAAAAAACATTGTATGGTAGTAGTTCCCCAGGTGATATATAGAAACCGTGTCGCATTTCATTATACCAATGTATCACTACACATTCAGTAACTTTCTCACTGTTGAAACTTTGGGTTGTTTTCAGTTATTTTTAAATTTTGTATTTATAATTTTTGGTTAAAATCCTTATAGAGATGTGTGTCTACATGTTTGGTTATTTCTTTGGGGCACTCTATGAAAAAGAATTAATGTGTCAAAGATAAAAACGTTCTCCCCTCTCTGGTATGTGAAGCTTGGTTTGATTTGAGGGGCTTGGCACCTTTAAGGACTTACTTTAGCCAGACATACATCTACCTGCTTTACAGTGACCCTGTGAAATCGATGCCAAGATTATGCCCATTTTACAGATGTGCAAACTGAGACATAGGGAGGCCAGTGTTACACAGTAAGCAGGAGAGCCTGTACGATTCCAGCCACGCTGAGTCTGGAGTGGTTGGTCCCAGTCAGGGCACATTTGCTCCCCAGGGACGTTGCTAATATCTGGAGACATTTTTGATGGTCTCAACTGGAGAGGGTATGTAGTGGGCAGACGCCAGGGATGCTGCCAAGCACCCTGCAATGCACAGGACGGCCCCAACCAGGGATCACCTGGTTAAACATGACAAGGGTGCCGGGGGTGAGAGACCCTGGTCTGGAACCCCATTTTTCACCAGAGTCCCCCAGTACCTCTCCCATTTTTTTTTACATTAGTCCTATGGGATGCAGGGCAAAGGTAACAGCAGGAAACTCGTCTGAGCAGATCCCATTCCCTCCCCTCTGACCTGCTCTCGGTGGTTGTGAGATGAGAGTTGTATTGGGAGAGGATTTGAGACATTATTTTCATTTTAAAGCTTATAGGATATTTATGACAGTCTTTCCTTACCTGCCTTCCCCCACAAAACCAACTTCTTCAGATACACAATCTAAGTAAGAAAAGTCTGCTTATTTGAAAACACAGCTTCAAGATAATCTCCCAATTTTTTTTTTTTTTTTTTTTTTTTGGAGACAGGGTCTCACTCTGCTGCCCAGGCTGGAGTGCAGTGGTGTGATCACTGCTCACTGCATTCTTGATTTTCTGGGTTCAAGTAATCCTTCCACCTCAGCACCCCCCATCCACCCAGTAGCTGGGACTACAGGTGTGCACCATCACGCCCAGCTAATTTTTGATTTTTTTAGAGACAGGATCTCACTATGTTGCCCACGCTGGTCTCAAACTCTTGGGCTCAAACAAGACACTTGCCTTAGCCTCCCAAAGTGCTGGGATTACAGGCATGAACCACTGCGCCTGGCCTAGTCACCCTAATATTTATCACAAACTCCCTCACCCTCTTCCTAAACAACTTCACATAAACCTACAATCTAGAAAACTCGGTAGGTTGGCTTTGCAGTTTCCGGACAACTCACCCAGCACCCTTTTTCTTGTGAAATGACACCCCTAAACCACTCCTATACTGAATTTCTAGAGAAACCCCTGTGGCGGCTGATGTAATCACCTGCTTTCTTTTTTTTTTTTTTTTTTTGCTCTGTCGTCCAGGCTAGAGAGCAGTGGCGCGATCTCGGCTCACTGCAAGCTCCGCCATTCTCCTGCCTCAGCCTCCCGAGTAGCTGGGACTACAGGCGCCCGCCACCACGCCTGGTTAATTTTTTGTATTTTTAGTAGAGACAGGATTTCACCGTGTTAGCCAGGATGGTCTCGATCTCCTGACCTCGTGATCCGCCCGCCTCGGCCTCCCAAAGTGCTGGGATTACAGGCGTGAGCCACCCCGCCCAGCTGAAATCACCTGCTTTCTAAGTGCCAGATCACCTCTGCTTAAGCCCTTGGATCCCCAGCAGTGGAGGGGCAAATGCAGCTTGGCTAGTCACATCACATGCTTTATCACGTTTTGATTTAACCCTCAAATGGCTGTAAGGGACAGAAACCTACCGGGTTTAACATAGGAGAAATTGATCCTCAGACTCTCCCCCACGCTCTGGCTGGCATTTGAACCCCGCTGCTTGGACAGCTCTTTTTCCTAAGTCAGGTGCCTAAAGCTAACCACTTGGGGGCTTTGTCCTTCAGGGACTAGAGCAGCAGCCCCCTTCTCCCCCAACTTCTGCCTGCCATCTCACCTTCTCTCCACGGAGCTCTCCTTTGTGGCCTCGGGTCCCGAGGGAGAGGAAGATCCTGAACCTCTGTCCTTGACTCTCCGAGGCCCCCGGTCCTGCAGGAGGCTGTGAGCGTCTGGGCTGGAGAAAGACAGATAGGAAGAGTAGGGTGGCTTTTGAACGGGAATTGATTGCAAAACTGGTTTCTGTTAAGTGCTGCAGGAGAAAAAAAAGCCAAACTCTCGGGCTCTTCCAGGAAATCATGGGCTCCAGCTGTGCACTTTCATTTTCCTTTTTGCCTGTTTCTCTAACTGCATGCACAACGAGATGAAAGAGCAGAATCAAAGTCAGAAGGCCTGAGTCTCTCGTCTCTGTCCTGGCTGTGTTATAGGATGGACCTATATGGGGTATGAAAATAGCTCCTGTGGCTTAGAGCTATGGTGAGGAGCCCATGAGCAAGCGATGGGGCACCTGATGAATAGTGGATTCACAGTAGCGATCATCACTGATTGTTCTGAAACTGCTTCCCTCCACAGCATCTTGATGTGGATAACAGCCCTATGAGGTGCACGGCCGGCATTTAAGGGCTAATAACTCTGAAATGCAGAATCCTCTGAAAATGGAAACTTTTTTATTTTATTTTTTATTTTATTTTTGAGATGAAGTCTTGCTCTGTTGCCCAGGCTGGAGTGCAATGGCACGATCTCGGCTCACTGCAACCTCCGCCTCCTGGGTTCAAGCTATTCCCCTGTCTCAGCCTCCCCAGTAGCTGAGATTACCTGCGCCTGCCACCACGCCTGGCTAATTTTTGTATTTTTAGTAGAGATGGGGTTTTATGTTGGCCAGGCTGGTCTCAAACTCCTGACCTCAAGTGATCCACCCACCTCAGCCTCCCAAAGTGCTGGGATTATAGGTGTGAGCTACTGCACCCGGCCTGAAAACGAAAACTTAAAAAAAATAATAATTTATTCATTTAGTGACAAAACCTGAGCTGATCTGGCATGAATTCACTTATGGTTTTTATGTCTCTTCCTTAATTTGAATATTCACTGTCACTGTAAAAATATTAATATGTTTGACTGAGGAGGGCTGCTGGGGGTGGGTGGGTTACACAGTACGTGATACCTGCACCCCATTACCTTTCTAAAAATCACTTGGGGACTCTGACATGCATCTGGCCTCAAGGATTGGAGATACAGGATGTGATACTCTGTCTCCCACTTTAAGGAAGAGGAAACTCAGGCTTCTAGAAGTTGTGGGTTGTTAGTGATTACACAGCTAAGAACCAGTCCTAGGCGCCGTGTCTGCAAGAATGAGCCCACAGTGTGGTTACGGGCTGAGATCTGTGTCTCTCTAACATTTCTGTCACGTTGTGATCAGAAGTCACGTGGTTTGCAGAAATCCCCAGTCACCACCCCTAGCTGAGGCCACACTGGGTGCTGTTGCTTTGCAGAAGGCGTGGCCCACCTAGCCAGTCCTGCCTTTGCGACGATGGAGGCCACCTCCTGTCACTGGGCCCTATGAGCAGGAATGAGGGGTTAAGCGCTGCTGAGTTGGGTCCTGTAGGGGCCTTTCCAACCCTGGCATCCCAGATTCCACAAGCCAGCCCTGCTGTGGCCTCCCACACTTGGAGAACACTCTAAACACAGCGTGACCTTGAAGCGGACTTGGCTGCCTGGCTGGGGTCGCTGAGCCATCCCAGGCCTGCCTGCTGTTTTCCCTGGCAACAGACCCAGATGTTGTGGTCACTGCTCGGTCCTGGGAGTCTCAGGGGCCAGACCGGCCATTGGATGAGGGGCAGTGTTTACCACCAGGGCTCTTGTGAAACGATCGCCCCAAGAGATGCTGTGTGAGAAAAATGTTCTGTAGCCAAATGCAGGGAAGTGCTGCTTATGTAAGGGAACAGAAAACATCCACCCTATAGGTCAGATGAACAAAAGTGGGGAGTTGTTTAATTTCCTAGAGTCCACTTCCCTTCCCTCAAGGCCCAAGACCTGCTGAAAAGAAACAAACTTGCCTGAAGACCCCTCAGTCTCTTGTGGTTTAAAACACACTCTCAGGCCGGGCGGGGCACGGTGGCTCATGCCTGTAATCCCAGCACTTCAGAAGGCTGAGGCAGGCCCAGTAATCCCAGCACTTCAGGAGGCTGAGGCAGGCAGATCGCCTGAGGTCAGGAGTTTAAGGCCAGCCTGACCAACATGGTGAAACCCCATCTTTACTAAAAATACAAAAATTAGCTATGTGTCGTAGTGGGCACCTGTAATCCCAGCTACTCGGGGGGCTGAGGCAGGAGAATCGCTTGAACCTGGGAGGCGGAGGTTGCAGTGAGCTGATATTATGCCACTGTACTCCAGCCTGGGCAAGAGTGAGACTCTCTCAAAAAAAAAAAAAAATTAAAAAAAATTAAAAAAAAAACACGCACGCACACACACACTCTTTTGGGTAAAGTCTGTCATTTGGGGGTGAATGTTCAGGCAATTTAAGTTCGAATTTTCTGTCAGGGCTTTTTATGTTTTCTTAAAAGTTTGCCTCCCATTGAGGCTGCAGTGAGCTGAGATTGCACCACTGTACCCCAGTCTGGGTGACAGAGCGAGATCCTGTCGGAAGGAAGGATGGAAGGAAGGACGGAAGGAAGGAAGGAAGGGAGGAGGGAGGGAGGGAGGAAGGAAGGAAGGAGGAAATTTGCCTGCCTCTGAGATGGCATCTGGGAGCAGGGGCTTGCACTGGCCCTCTGGGGTTCCACTGGCCCACAAAAAGGGTCCTTTGTGACCCTCCCACCAGGCATCACCGGCTCCCGGACACCTGGGTTCTGGTTTGCCTTGCACCTCTCTTGAGGAGCCGCAGGTTTTCTGTGTTGCAGCCACAACCAACCCACCCTGGGCTCAGGCTGTCTGCCTCCCAGAGAACTCATCACGCCTCGGCCCAGTGGCCCCTGGCACAGACAGGGAGGAGAGAAAGGCCTTGAAGCACATTTTGACCCTGAGATTCTTGAATTTCTTCTCTTCTCTCTGGCTACAGCATGTAAGGAGAGTTTGAGCAAACACTGTCCTGAGTGCAATTTGCCAAATGTAGCAAAAGTTCCATCGTAACCTGCATTGCTTTGCCTGGAAGCAGTTTCAGGATCCTGGGAATCCAGGCCAGAGTGAAGCAGGGAAGTAGCCATTACAAGGGGAGAGCGGAGCACTGAACTTGAACCCAGGACCACCAAAAGGGCCAGGCCTGGCATGGCCACACCCTTGTTTCTTGGCCCACAGCAACTAACCCTCACCCACTTCCATTCTGTCTCCTTCCTGGGATTCTTGTGAGGAAGTTTTTGTTTGTTTGCTTTTTGTTTTTTTTTTTTTTTTTTTTGGAGACGGAGTCTCGCTCTGTCGCCCAGGCTGGAGTGCAGTGGCCGGATCTCAGCTCACTGCAAGCTCCGCCTCCCGGGTCTACGCCATTCTCCTGCCTCAGCCTCCCGAGTAGCTGGGACTACAGACGCCCGCCACCTCGCCCGGCTAGTTTTTTATATTTTTTAGTAGAGACGGGGTTTCACTGTGTTAGCCAGGATGGTCTTGATCTCCTGACCTCGTGATCCGCCCGTCTCGGCCTCCCAAAGTGCTGGGATTACAGGCTTGAGCCACCGCGCCCGGCCTTGTTTTGTTTTTTTTTGAGACAGTCTCGCTCTGTTGCCAGGCTGGAGTGCAGTGGTGCGATCTTGGCTTACTGCAACCTCCGCCTCCTGGGTTCAAGCAATTCTCCTGCCTCAGCCTCACGAGTCGCTGGGATTACGGGTGCCCACCACCACACCTGGCTATTTTCTTTTTTGGTATATTTAGTAGAGATGGGGTTTCACCATGTTGACCAGGCTGGTCTTGAACTTCTGACCTCAGGTGATCCACCTGCCTCGGCCTCCCAAACCGTTGGGATTACAGGCGTGAGCCACCCCGCCCGGCCCCAAGGACTCATCTTTCATGGGAGATCTGAGAGACTCTTGAGGGGATGTCTCCTCCTTTCTACCCTGAATTAAAAATGGAGATGTCTGGCATCCTGGGTTTGGTGGATGGGAACTTCCAAGTGCAGAATGTTACATGTGGAGCATGTGCTGGGAATATTTCACTCATGATCTCATTTCTTCCATGTGCTTCTTCTATGAAGCAGGGGACACAAGCCCAATTTATAGCTGCCAAGGCTGATGCTCCTGGGTCCCAGGACTTCATCCAAGATCATAGTGTCTAACATGACTAGGGTTAGGCGTCCAACCCACATCTGTCTGCCTCCAGTTCTTTGCACTAAAGCACATCGCAGAAGCCCACCCACATCTCTGTTCTGTGGCTGAATGATCAGTGAGTTTGCAAACTGCTCTCCTTGCGGTAGCCTGGCCAGGTGTGGGGTGGGGGTAGGCGGGGGCTGGAACAGGAGGTACAGGTTGTGCAAGAGGTGAGGTTAGTTGGCATTTTAGTTAGCAGGTTGCAAGTGACGCATCATCTTGGAGCACTGGAAGCAAAAGCAAGGAAGCTATTTATCCAGCTTGGTGGTTCTCATACTGCAAGTCACAATTTACTGTGTCCTGAAATCAGCCTAGTGGGTCGCAAGAGATAATAAAGGGAAATGAGGTCGGATGTGGTGGCTCATGCCTGTAATCCCAGCATTTTGGGAGGCTGAGACTGGAGAATTGCCTGAGCCTAGGAGTCAGACCAGCTTGGGTAACATGGTGAAACCTCGTCTCCACAAAAAAATGCAAAAATTAGCTGGGTATGGTGGTGTGCCTGTGGTCCTAGAGACTGGTGTGTGTGTTGGGGAGATGGGGGGTGGGAGGTGCTGAGGTGGGAGGATCACTTGAGCCCAGGAGGTTGAGCCTGCAGTGAGCCGTGATCGAGATTGTGCCACTGCACTCCAGCCTGGGAGACAGACCATCTTAGAAAAAAAAAAAAAGGGCCGGGCGCGGTGGCTCAAGCCTGTAATCCCAGCACTTTGGGAGGCCAAGACGGGAGGATCACGAGGTCAGGAGATCAAGACCATCCTGGCTAATATGGTGAAACCCATCTCTACTAAAAATTATGAAAAACTAGCCAGGCAAGGTGGTGGGCGCCTGTAGTCCCAGCTACTCGGGAGGCTGAGGCAGGAGAATGGCATAAACCTGGGAGGCAGAGCTTGCAGTGAGCTGAGATCTGGCCACTGCACTCCAGCCTGGGCGACAGAGCGAGACTCCGTCTCAAAAAAAAAAAAAATTAAAAAAAAAAAAAAAAGCATTATTCAGAAAGAATCTGTCGGGAAAGGGTGGGCAAACAGGAACAGATGTTCTCACTCTGGGTCGGGGGTTTCATCCAGGACCAGCAGTCTGGTCTTTCAGCCTTCAGGCTGTGTTTTGGCTTGAAGGTGGAGTTTCACTGGGGACCTGCCCCTGTCTGCCTGGGCATTTGGCTGCCTC